AGAACTTATATCACAAAAGCACGCACGGAGAAATATAATATTTCCTTACAAGTATACTAACTTCATTGTAATTTTTTAGCATTTAAGTGAGAGATAAACTCAAGGAAACTATAAAAAATTACTAAATGAATCTCAGTTTACGGATAATCAGGATTTTGTTTAGGAACGTAGCTAGACATAAAAAGTAATTCAAGGCATTGAATAAAATCTCCTAAGATACTCTACGTATGCTTATAGGAGTTATTTTAATATAACTCATTTCATTCTAGCAATATATATTAAAAAACAACGTATAACGAAAATAGGATGAGCTCTGAAAGAATTAAAACTTATCGCATAAAATTAAAATTAATCTCTATTTTAATACTGTGAAATTAAATAACTTTAAATGTTCATTTTATTATTAGGTTATTGATCATAAATTTTGTGACTTTTGTGACTGCGGGTTTTCGATGATAAATACATATAAAGTAGCACAAAAAAATTCACTGAATTACATAAGCACCACTTTATTCTACGACTAGCGTTCTTTTTGATAACTAGATAATTTAACATATTTAAAAAGTTGTTAGGTTTGTTAGGAAAGAAGTTATATGCTATTTGACAGTCTCCACAGAAGTGGACCTAAGGTCATTTAGAGAATTTTGAATTGTACTTTGAATTGCGTTTGAAATTTCGTTCCAAGACAGAGATGAAAATCCAGGAGGACAAGGTCTAATGAATATGAAGGGTGACGGCAGTACTCAGTAAAGTCTTCAGATATTCATCGAAATGTGGGGCCGAGCATAACTGAAGAAAACGCCTCGAAGTTTGGTCAGTTCTTCGATTTCTACTTTTAAATCTCTTATTTAGAAACATTATTTCGGCGAATTTGTTCTCTGATTTGCTGGCAACAATTCATAATATACAATTCTGCCATACACAAAATATTACATTTTTAGGATGCAGCCCCCTTCTTAATATTACTAAAGGAGGTTCATTTGGCTTACCCTATGATATTTATTTTGTAACATTATTGCCTAGCATTAACTCCTCATCTCCAGTAATGAGCGGTTCAAAAAAACAGATTCTTTATCTTTTTAGCAAAGAACCACATGCAAAAACCTGAGTAAGTATAATATATTTTGCTATGTTGAAATATGAGTTATTCTTACGTCGTAGCAGCTTATATACCTAATCTTAAAATGATTGTTTTGGAATATTTATTCTGTCTGATTGTTCCTGAGCTACATAAAGTGAATTTTTGGCAGTAGCATCTTTTAATAGGTTTTTGTTTACAAATGATGGTCTTCTACAGCGGGCATCATCTTCGAGGCTGAAATTTCCAAGCTGCTCTTTTCCCACGTAAAGTGAAATTTTTAAGAGCAGTCTGTTTAATATTTGTTTGCCTTTCTTTAAAATAAAACGGAATAATATGATGAATGTTTTAGTTTTTCACACTTAGCACTGCACTTGAACTAAAGTTACACCACAGCACATACTAGAAATATGCAACGTGACAGGAAAGATAGTATTTAAATATTAAGTCCAAGCCACTCTTTATCAAAATTAACAAAAAATTCAGAAAAAGTGGGCTTCGATTAGGTAAAACCGCCGAAATTTTCATATGTTCCAGTACTTGTTAAATTCTTGTTACACAAGAACTTTACAGGTATTTAATGTGTAAGAACTTAACAGAAGTATTAAGAAAATATTTACTCAGATATTTTACAATTTTAAGATTCGGCATTAAACATATTTACTATAAAAAGTTAGCAATGAAAGTATTACGAATTTTACTATATCAGCAATATTTAAATTCACGTATTTTATATATATATTCAAGTTTCAAATATAATTAAAGGAAGAGGAACTACTCGTACAGTATTGCAAAAATAACCTTTGCATTATCAACTGGAAATAAGAGATTTATTAATTTAAAGAGAGAGGAAATTAAAATCATGTAAAACATTAATTAATTTATGATAATGTGAGCTGCATTTGATAAATTTGTTAAGGACAATTTGCTAATAATATTTGATTATGTTTGACTAAATAATGTTTAAAAATAGCTTTCCAGGTCTGTCATAAAATGTACCGGATTTAAGCTAAAATGCAATTTTTTTTTAAAAATTCCCTTTAATAGACATAGAATGAAAAGCAATGAGCATTCAGTGTATAGCAGTATTAGCAGAACTATGAAAATAACTGAACAAACCTTTAATGTCATTTCTGAGAATGGTTTGAAATAAATCAATAGGGATTATTAAATGGGATTTTTGGAAAGGAACAGATCAAAGTCGATCAATACCACATATAATTAAACAACAATAAATCTAAGCAGCGAAGCCTTAAAATTAAACAAAATTAAATCTTAGATTTGAGACAGTTTTAGAGAAATACATATTAATGCATAATGTTTTGAAATAAATGAAATTTATGTTTTCTGTGCTTTATTATCACGAATTTCAACTCTTACATTACTTTACACAGTTAAAAAGAACATAGTGAAAAACGAGAGCTGCAAAGTGAAATGCTTTTTGCAGATGGAATATGACCAATATGCTTTTTTGAATAATATTTGAAGAAATTGAAGCTTCCTGGATGCAGAACATTCAGAAATAAAGCTTCCATCCTGATTTGATTTAGGTACATTAATGTAAAAGGAAAATATATCGAAATCAATGAGTTTTTAAAAAGAAAACTGTGAAAGGCGTTCTAGAGCTATCTATAAAAAATCATTAAAAAACATTGAATAGTACAAAACAATTTATCATGACTGTCAAACTCCTTTTAATCATTTACCCTGTTTCAGTGAACTGTTTCATCCATTTACTGAAACGGAACATATTTGTAACAAACGTCGTTTAAATTGCAGTGATAATTTTCAAAACCTAACATTACAACTGAATTACGCTAGGCTAAGAAAATAAAGCTAAGAAAGCTAAGAAAATAAGCATTACGTTCTCTGATAGAAATTAATTCGCCCAAAGTAATGTGTATTGTTGAATAAAACCGCACATAATATAGCTGTAGAAAATCACAAGCGTTGCATAAAATAATCAACTCTAAAAAAACTAAAAATATTTCATAATCTGCAGTAAAAAGTTTACACTTTTCTTTTCATGGAATAAAAAATTTCTCTAAAACATTTTAAAATAAGTGAATAATAGTTAACTCTAGAAATTAACCCATTAAAAATTTAAACCTGAAGGAAATAAAAAAAATATTAGTATAAAGAAATTTAACTTACAGAAAATTTAAAATGTTCTCAGAGGATATATGCTCTTTAAAATAGTAATTTTCTCTAAAGATAGAGGGCGCTACGAACATTAAGCGAAATCGAGATCTTTGGCAGCATGTACCAGGACTTCCATGTACTGTTGCGACAAATTATCAAGCGTACGTACTTTGAAATTTTGTGAAACTATCTGTATAATAGCTCATAATAAGACTTAGTATTTCCAATATTCAGTAACCAAGAGAAATGTAAATAAATACTACTGCAAACAGTAAGAAGCAGTGCTGAAAATTAAAATTATGATTAAATAAATTTTCATACAATACAAACCAATTTTCCCAAACTTTAATGGGAATTGGCCATTTCGGATGACGGTTTAGTCATGATCAGGCTCATTTTCGTGAGAAAAACGAAAGTACTCATGTTTTAAGTACATTATCTTCGATTGCAATGTTTTTTTAAATTTGTATTTTGAATAAACAAACTTTAAAACTCACTTTAATATTTTAATCACGTTAAGGAAGTCACAAGAAACTATCAGTTTCAGTGTTAATTTTTATTGCATTCCTTATTTGTTCCAGTTTTCATTTTCCAGTATTCAGCCTTTATTTTTACTTAAATTATCATTTTTATATTATGAACTTTACGTTATATAATGGAAGCTAAAAGCTAAATTTAAAGAGTACAATAAAGCAGATTTTTTCTTATGAAAATTATGCATTCTTCTTATGATTTCTGATGAAAATTAAGCTTACTTTTGTTTTAAAAAATTACATTTCTGATTAATTCTTGGTAACTATCTACGAAATTTATATAAAATTAATGCGGTTAAAGGCACTTCCTTTTCCCCTTTAAGCAAAACTTAGGAAATCAGATCCACTTTTAACCTTTATGGAACCATGTTAGAATGAATAAAATTTGCACTGAAACAAAAAATTTGAAAATTAAAAGCAATTCAATCAGGAAAAAAAAAAAAAAAAGAAACTGAAAGCTTTCAGAATTTACATCACGCCCATAGGGACGTTTTTCCAACGTTTTGTGTGTTACTTTTTATTATTAAATATCATGTTTTTCGCACTTCCACTTTGGCCACATAAAATTCAATTCAACAGCAATAACGCAAAACAATTTTAAAATTAACTTATCTTTAGAATTTCCAATACAGATTCTCGCGCGCTGGAGATAAAAATAATTTTTTCCCCCGTGCAATATTGCCATTTCTCGCTGGCAATATTGCAGTAATTCCATTTCTCGCGAATTCGTTGAGTTTGTTAATCAAAAATTCCTTAAAGTGTTATAAAATATGAAATCGATAATAAAACAAATTCTAAATTAGGACTTCCAGAGGCCCACATTCGATGAAGATTTACGTTATTCAAAATTTGGTGGCTCTACTTATGGCTGTTTTATCACAGTGCGAAAAACATATATACATTTATGCTGATACTACATTATTTAATTCCTTTAAATATAATACAGAGCTCTAATATTTAGTGGCAACAGTTTGAAGAGTGAATCAAAGCAAAATGCCAAAACGAAATTATTAGCCCTTCTGGGTTAATACAAAATAAGTAAACAAATGAAATTGTAATGCCACTATTTGTCTCCTAAAAACTTTCAAACACCTTGACTATGAAAACGCACGTTACCTTCATCAAGTATACTATTAATTAATAATGATTGGGAAAGATACAATATTTAGAGAATATATTTTATTTTTATTTTCCTAAGTTAAAAATCAGCTAGACTGGTTGTTAACCTTTGCACAGAGGTCACTAACCTTCCTCCTTTGTCTGCACGTGCCTGAGCTGAGATGGTTCGCTGAGACCGACGCCATTCTCTGCAAGTACTTGTACGGAGTACGAAGTTCCAGGGTGTAAACCTTCTAGGTACGTTGATGTTTCGCTGCCACCAAGAACCACTTGGTGCAATTGCTTACCAGCAATTCCTGCATGAAGAAAATAGATAATTAATATCAGACAATAATACTTTTAGCATAAATATATTAATTGTACCATTTTTTTAACTGTTTAGACCATTCGGAAATAAAGAACTGTTAACAACAGCAAGTTTTAGAAAATCAGTTTTTAGAAAGGATAATTACTATGATACTATTAAAAATATTTATTTTAATTTCATTCGGTAGTTAACTTTTACGAGAAATAAATTTGCGTCAATGTAGGTATTTTTAAAGAAGTTTGAATATTAATAATTGCGATTGCCATAGCAACCAGTTTTAATTCTAAGCTTGTATTTCAGTGTGTTTTTTATACCCTTCTGTACAAGCTTCTGTTCTTTTTCTGTACAAGCTTCCGTAGTGCATCTGTGGAAATGTTAATCTTACATTCAAAATGAAATATTTTCTGTTCGAAAGGAAACTGCAGAACAAGCTGAAGGGAAGTCTTGATAAATTCAATATTTTAAAGCGTAATTATTGACTAAAATTTTATTTGGGAAATTCTTTTACTTAAACATTTTCAGAATAAAGTAAGTCTTAAGCTAAATATTCTAGTTTTTAACAATACAATCATATACTAAAAATTTATAAATGTGTAGGAAATATAATGTTTTTATGTCATGCTTTAATATTCTTAATTGTTGCAAGATTTGCAATTATTACAAATGTAAGTAATAAAAGTAAACGAAGAGTTAGTTTTTTCATTTTCCAAAAGATTTTATTTTAAATTGCTCCATTTCAGAATTTAATTGCAAGAAGCATTATTGTTTTATTTACAACATGGTTTTAATTTATTTTCTCTTTTTGTAAATGAAGTTTTAAAATTTTGGAATTAAGGCATAAGAATAATGTTTGAATTAGTACTGGTTTTAAATTGATTTTGTTACAGTGTATAAAAATTTTAATTTACATAATTTGAATTTATTTTTAATTTTGCTAATGTTAAAATTATATATTTTATATAAATAATATCTTCTATTATAAAATTATATATTCTATATTAAAATTTGATGTGAATGAATAAAAGAAAAAATGCAGTGTACTTTCATGTAATAGTATGTTCTTTAAAAACTGTTCCTTTATCAAGCAATGAATTTGCTTGGCTAAATTTTGTAAATGTTTGTCGAACGTAAAGTAGCAAAACAGCATCTTTAAAACTGCGCATCAATTAATGGTGATATTAAGAAGTTAATTATCTTATTCTTTGTGAAATAAAAAGCTAATAAAAAATTTTAATGTCTGGATGTGTACAGGAAAGCCAATACAAGAATCGCAGTTTAATTAACACGGAAAAGTGCAAATTGCGGGTTAGATGTTTTCAGAAATGGCTTTGCTAGCTTTAAATTGTTATAAACAATAGCCATAAATACTTCGATGCTATAATTTCTAAATTTTTAATTTGAGAAAGATAAAGTTACTCATCACTGAAAACTGAATGAAGCTATGTTTACTCGTTAGTACTTCATTCATGAAACTTTCAAAAGAATTTAATTAATCACCAGTACCTTTATTTTAAAAGCTTGCAAAACATTTGTAGAATGTTTTAATGCAAGAAGTATACATTCAATACGGAACCTAAGTTTAAATCTGTGATCTAACTGATTTCATTACAATTGACTAAAATGTTTCTTTTTAATCTTCATATTTCGCACAGAACGAGTATTACGAGTAAAAGCTTCTGAAAATAGGATAAGACTTTATACTCAAACGCAATTTTGTGTTTTGTTTCTAGTGCATATGTTGACTATCTTATTATCCAAATTTGTACAATCAACTTATTACATCAATAAAGTAACTGGAAGTCCATCAATAGAATTGACACGAAGAGCTGCAAAGACATAAACGAGAATAGTAACTGTCCTAAAAATTTAATCATTTAACAAATTATTTAGTTACTATTTCGAGACGAACTAACTCCAACTATCTTCTCTGTATTTATAAAAGATTAATTAAATACAAAGTTCCGATTTATAATCACATAAATATATACACCACTCTACTTTGATTGGAGATTCACTTATCCATATATATGACAGAACTATACTGAATTTTAGGCTGGTAGTAAAATAATGTAAAAGCGGCATGGATCTCCAACTATTCAAAATTTACCTACTTTAAAATGACTGTGTATAATAAATTTAAAAGCTTCATATATACAGAATGTTGAAAGATTAATATATTGTTTCGTGCGTACGGGTTCGCAATGGATTGAATGCAAACAGAACCAACGATAGCTTGATAAAATTTATTTTCCCAAAAGAACAATTTCTATTTCTAGAACTTCTACAAAAGTACTCACACAGCTCTTCTCAGTATGACAGAGCACAATCAGTAGCTTCTACCTCATACTGCTAAGAATATTAAACACAACGCAATATAAACGCACCTAAAGAGTTATCAATGTTAAAGAACGGAGATTCCTTAAGGGGACTCATATACCTTAAAACCCTTAAGATCTTTGAATATGTGACTGTTGCAAGAATTGGGATATTTTATTCATTTTAAAAGCAATTACATCCAACATTTTGCAGCTGACTACATAATATAGCTGCTTTGGGAACTATTAACCAGAAAGTTTGTGTTACCACAAATATTTTTACAATTTAATCTGCTTTGTGACAAAATGCTTTATATAATGCTATATATGAATGCCATATATATATATATTCCGGCATTCTATAGAATGCCTAGGCATTGTATATAATACCCAAAACCTGTCGGCAATGTATGAAACGATTCCTATTTAACACATATCCCAGGCATTCTATAGAATGCCACGTGGCAAACGGGCAAATTATGAAATACATTTCCGGAAGAACCGAAACTACTTACCAGAAGTTAGTTAATGATGTAAACACGCCAAAATGACTTCTAAAAAACCACGGGAATACTGTCTGCTGATTTGCTAGGATGTGATTTTTGTGGAAAATAAAAGTACATTCATGTATCCTGTTAAAGAAAGCATCAGTACTATACAGTATTACGTCACGGACGTCGAATTATTTCCCGTACTTCATGAAAACTCATTTGAGTACTGCATACGAACGACGTGACAGGTGTTGAAAGAACTTTCAACCAAATACAAAAACGTTACAAGATATTGAACTGTACAACCACCTTTGTGCCCTGCCAGGAAAAATGAAAAAGGTATTAAAAAGGGCATGGCAGTGAAACTTATGATTGTTTCTGATTTTAATTTCCGTTGTCAGGTAGATCTTACTGATTCTCAGTCTCAGATAGAAAGTACAAATTTAATATGTTGTATAATCCCACTATTTTTTATATATATTTCGGATAACAGTTTTTTAATGGCAATCTTTTATTAATTTTTCACAATAACATTTATATTTTTGAGGAATGAACGTCTTTTATATAATAGCTTTATCATAACCTTTTTTTTCATACTTTGTCTAAAGAGCATTTGTTATTCTATAGAATGTCTAGTTATTATATATAATGCCTAGGGAAAGTATGTAATAATTTTTCTGTTTCATACTTTGCCTAAAATCGTCCGGCATTATATACAATGCCTAGGCATTCTATAGAATGCCGCAGTTTCATACTTTGCTAGTAACATATAGTCGCGCTTTCGGGACATGAAAAACGCAATTTGAATTTCGTCAATTCGTCCAGTAGAATAGGAGATATAGAACTGTCCCATTTATTATTATTATTATTATTATTATTATTTTGCTCAAGTGTACATATTATAGCATCCTAAGAAAAGCTAAAAGTACATACTACATACTATTATTTTTCAATGACAATTGTAGTTTTCAAAACCGTACAAGTGCTTTAACTAATTGACATAAGTTGTCAAGTATAAATGCTTTCTCATTTATACGTTTCCATGGTAAATAATTCTGCTTCTAACGATTCAATTCACCAGTTAACAGAAAACTGTAGACTGAACCCCGATTTAAAAGAAATGTTCCTCAAAAAACTTCGTAGTCACAAAATGAAGTTAGTAAGAGGAAACTGGCCTTTTCCAATTTACCCCGAAGCTCCGAACTAAGTTTCCCATTGAAAAATAAATCATCAACCACGCAAAAGAAAGCAAAATAAAAGGTATTGAACCAGGTTGTATTCGCTTCGAATTAAGCGTATTTGGCAAACGACAACAATATCTGGACAGTGCAAGCTGCTGAAATTTAAAATGCATTTTCAGCATTTGTGGGGATTAGATTTTCTGTTTCTTCAGTTTGAGAATTAATAAATATTTCCCATTTAGCCCTAGGAAATCTTCGGGTCTTTTTATATGCTTTGAATGTCTTAATCTTTTAGGGAAATGTTTGTTTAGGATAAGTAAAATATTTCATTTCAGTAAATAAATGTATTTTTATAATTTACCCGTTTTTTGCTTTTTCAATACATGCTACTTCTTGTTTGACGTCTAGATATGGAAATTCTTGCAAAAAAAGTCTGAAGGCCTTTTAGATTTTATATTACTCCCAAAGGGCTTTTAACGATTAGCGTGTTTTATTTATTTATTAAATATCATGTTCTTCGCACTTAAACCCCATAAAATTCAATTCAACAGCACTATCACAAAATATTTAAAAAAAGCATATTTTTGAATTTCCGACAGACAGTCTCGCGCGCTGGAGACTTTCCGTACAGTTTTGCCACTGCTCGCTTTGAAATCGTTGAGATTGTTAATCAAAAATTCGTTAAAGTTTTACAAAACATGAAATAGATAATAAAACAAATTCGAAATTCAAAATTCGGGCTAACGAAAACTTGCATCTCTCAGCTTCTTAAGAAGAGTCTTCGAAGTAACAACGATGCCAGAATCTATTTGAAACTTGTGAAGGATTATCATCACGTGCACTTCTTTGCTTCAGTATCATCTTTAGGGTTCGACGATTGCGACCATTAAATTTATATAACCTCATTTGGACATTGTCATCCTGCCTTTTAATATCTCAGACTTTTACATCTTACAACAGTATTATAGTTGATTTAGACACTCGTATCAGATCCGATATTGC